CAGAAGAAGCATACTTCCCATTGACCCTCTGAATCCTATCCCTAACAACCTTGGAACTGGTGGTTTGAAGAAATGCTGGTAGTAAACATAATCCAAGATTCCGTCTGGCTTTCACATCTGATCTGCTGGGCATGGACATGAGCCAACTGAAAAGCGATGCAGTTGTTAAGAGTAGAATATGTGCAAAAGATATTCACGCCTATTTCTAAGCTTTCCGTGCCCATTGGCAATCAAAGGTCCCCCATGGACAAGGATACTATGGGGAAACAAGTCAAGGTTTTATATAAATAGCTGCTTGGACATTACAATCAACTTCTGCTTCCATGCAGTCATAATTAGTGAGAAAACTAACGACAGCAGGATCAAGTTCCAAAAAATGGTGAAGAAAAGCCAGCCAGCCTACTTTAGTTTCCACCATGGCACATGAGTTGGGTGACATCGACCACAGCCAATCTCAATTAGAAGGATGGGAAAATGATCACTGTCCCATGGGTCACTGTCTACCCTCTAAGAAAAACAATGAAAGAGGAAATAGGAACAAATAAACAGATCAAATGCAGAAAAAGACTGAACTAGGTGCATGAAAATATGTATATAAGCCATAACTGAGGAGACAGTAGTTGTGACCCGAGAGCATACACTCCACAGAATGACCCTTCCCATCAAAATCAGCATCACCCCAGAGGGATCATGTCCATTAATGTCTCTGAAGATGAAGAAGGGAGAAGGCACTGTACCCTTTGCAATGAACATTCAAAAAATGTACACACATTTCTAGTCAGCTCCAAGGAGACTCACCTGTAAACTGTATGTGCATATTTGTTTTATAATATTTTGCTTATTTCAAAGCATAGGTTTATCTTTACTAAAAAACTATTAACCCTTGAGAATATAATGATCACATTTTGGTTTCTCACATGATTCTCCTTCTTTTCCAAAGATTTTATTAGGTACAGACTTTTGTGATCTCATAAAAAATATCTCAAAATCTACTGTTACGTATTTGCTTGTTTGTTAATTTTCGATATAAATTCTTTCCAAGGAACTTCAGTGATACAAGTCCCTTCTTGATTAAAACTAGTTTATTCTTTTCCGATACAACTTTGTAATACACAGAATTTCCACAGTCACTTTAAACTTAACAACCTTTATAACACACGCTATAAATCACAGTGATTCACACACTTTACTTATGGTGCCTACTGTTCGCTTGACTCAATTATCTATAACTTCAATATCTATCTATATTTCTTCAATCAGTCATCCTGCAGGCTTATATACTAAAAAAGGGGATGTCCCAAACGCACTAGGAAATTAATGATCATTTGAGAAACTCATCACGTGACTTTCGCTGTCGTAACACTACTAATGAAGCTCTGCTTTGAAAATAGCTAAAGGTAAAATACTATTTAATAGAGCAGATAACAAACTACTTACATTAATGTAGAAAAATAAAACAATGTGATAAGTATTTTACAGTTCTGTTGGAAAGTGAAAAGACTTTGCTCATACAGAGAACAATGGAATGTAGTGGGCAGTTTAGAAGACCTAGGAAGAAACCACAGACCTGAGAACTGTTTTTTGGGCATCTTTTTCATTGCTTACAATTTTTACATGTTTAATTAAATTGTACTAGCTGAAGTACCTATCCATTGGATGAGTGAAATAAAAACTTGTTTGTAACAAAGGATAGTGCTTCTATTTTTTTCCTTAATATAATAAACATTAAAGTGCAATAAAAATACACAAAGAATGAAAAGAAAGATGTACTGTTTTCAAGAATTCTATTAATATGAAATTAGATGGGGGAGTCCAACCAATTGACCAAGATTCCAGATATTCCCTTTATTAGTAAGAGTATCTCAAAGATGGATACAACCATCAACACATAATTTCTTCTGGTTGAGTTAAATAAATGTTAATCTTTCAGTTTCAATCTTTGCATACATATCAACAACATACTGATGAAAAGATGTCAACATCACAAGATTTGGATGAAGTTGTCTGCTTGCATCATCATCATCCTATAGGCATAGAAGTCATTTGATGAGACTTTTTTTCCAGGTTCAGACATGCCAGTGGTGGGATTGATTTGCATTAATATAAAGTTGTATCCATCTTCACCATGACAAAACATCAGTGGATACTGCAAGGCATCATAGCTTCAATGAGTTTCTGTAAATACGTTGGAGACTGTTGTTACTCTGGTGTAGAATGATATGCCTCTTCTGAAATTCTTGGCCAACAATTAAGATTGTGATTTCATTTGCAACAGGGGTATTGAAGCAACATTCATGTTCATCAGCTGGAGTTTTGTCTGCATGAATTATAACTTTCAAGTTATCGGTAGGCATTCTTTTCAGGACTGACTTGAAAAAATTAACATGCATTTTTCTCATGCAGCATCTCCTGTAAGGATAAAACAATCTCCTATCTTACACCAGGGGTATTCCAGCAGAGCTGGTTAGCTTGTTCTTGCAAGTCTCCCACAAAATAAACTTGAAGAAACTTTGGGTCTTCTTCTGGAAGTGGCAATAGTAATCCTATAATATGAAAAATTTGACCCTGCACTTTAAAAATCAGCATGGACCCTGGTTCACACACTTCCTTTGAAATCCCAAAAGATGTAATTTAAAGCAGCTGTTATACTTTCTAATATTTTCAAGAAAACACCTTGACTTTAGTATGCATCCCTGTATTAATGCCTTGAGAGGTTCAAGTGGTTCTATCAGTGGTTGAAACTCAATCTTTCCATTAAAACAACACATTCCTACAGTTTCACCCCTAAAGTGGGCATAAAGTATAAGAGATGATATATTAATTTTCAGAATATAGAAATATCTTATAATACTTGAATCACAAAATATATCTCCAGGAAAGTGGTGCCAATTACATGACAAGACAAAAATCAGTTGTTTGACTGAGGAACTTTTAATGCCCACAAAGTTTTAGCATGTAACACTGTATCTGGACCAGAAACTTTCCATAAAGAACAACTGCTACCTTTAGTTATAAACTTTACCATTGCTATTAATGCTGAACACTTTCATTGTTCTTTATATATTGCAATCTTGATACAATACTTTTGTTTCCTTGTCCCAAGACCTCTGTCCTACATTTATCAATGCAAAAAGAGTTTTTCTTATACATTACACATCATTTTAAACATTTCTGTCCATTTCCATAATTTTTGTTCAACCACTGTGGAGAAAGAACTTAGTTTCTCACTTAGGTAGCTCTTTTTATTCATAAAACACATTCACTAGACAGTCTTATCAAAATATCCATTTGACCTGTAAGGGAAATCATTAATATGACTGAAGTATTAAATTTGTAAGTTATACTTCATATGCCTTTTTGTTTTTGCTATTATTAATATCTATTAATGGTTTGCAGAATCATCAGCTACCCTAACACTGGCCTCAACTAAGAGCTTGGTTAATTTTTAATGATCAGTTATTAACTAATTTTAATGAACAAATGAAAAACATAACAATCTAATCAATCTGGAGTGTTTTTGGCATAAGAAATGAAACTACACACTGATCCCTCTCCAATATTGTATTCTTATCAATATCCTAACAAAGTATTAAATGAATGTGTAACGAATTTGTTGTCATGTATTTATTTTTAATATGAACGTTGTTTAGATTAAGTTTGTATTTAGAAATATGCAAAACGTATAGTGTCAGATATGTACTGCATATAACAAATTTGTTATGTATTTATTTTAATGACAATGTTCGTTTGGATTGAGTTTATATTTAAAAACGTGCCTACTTTACAGTGTTAGTTACGTACTGCGAAACTCCCCCCAATTCTCCGAGGTTGTAGAATATTTGTGAACGTAGGAATCGACAATATATCCACTTCCGTAACCAGTTAAATATAGCTCAGAATTGTTGTCAGAATTTTCGAAAAAAAAAACCTTTCCTGTGCTTATAAAAGCAGCCAAGGCAAAGTGCCAAAATAGAGAGAGAGCTTATAAAGTTGGCTAGGAACCTGCTATAACCATGTACACTATAAATCATGATTTTGCTAACCCTTATCAACCGGAAAATTTATGACATTTGACCAGGAACAGTTATAAATTTCGAACATCAGTGGATTTTCATTGGATGTTAGTATCTTTCCAAAAATATTACTGGATTCTCATTGGATGTTAGTATCTTTCCAAAAATATTACTGAATTCTCATTGGATGTTAGTATCTTTCCAAAAATATTACTGGATTCTCATCAGACATCAGTGGTTTATGGAAATATTATCTTACTTCAACTGTTCAACAATTCAGTGTCTGACAAAGCTAGCCAGCTTCTCGGCAAGTTACGTACATCGACTTCAAGTTAACTCACTGGAGATGAAGGAGACTCTGAACTAGAAAGAAGATTTTATGTTGTTTGTAAGTTAGTGAAATTTTTGTTTATAAAACTTTGATTGTGGTAACTATTCGTAATAATTGTTGTTGTGAATTGTACTGTTGTATATATATTAAAACATATTTGTGTGAAAAACGAAAACGGTGTATGTCAATCTTGTTGGCAAATAGCATAAATTAACTAGAATATCGGCTTCAGACTATTTCAAATTTGCAATACGTAACAGATGCAACTGCTAAACTCTAACCTAACATTACTGCAAAGTTGCATACTGTATGTCTTCACCTTACACAAGTATTAGACATAAAAGCAAACTTTCAACTTACACCAAATAAAAAATCTGTCCCTTATCATTTTTGTAGCATGATTTTGGTAGAATAAATATGTGAAGCTGTATAGTATTATCAGCTTTGAAATTAATTTTTGCACTAATACTGTTTTCTTGGTTTTGTAAAAAAAAAACTTCTATAAACACTATTGAGTACCAAAATAAACTTAGCATACAATGATGAGCTAACCAATGCAGTATGTAATGCACAATACACGCAAGATATTCTTATATATTTGCTTGATTCTAATTTCTTGATCATTCTGTTTCAGGTAAGAGCCTACTATGACTTACTCATTTGGATAGTCTTCTGTACACCTCACAATCAGATCAAGCTGAACATGAACTTCTTTCCCAGCTGTCATACTTTGTTGTGGATGCAGTGTAATCTGTACTTCTGGTGGCCGCCATACCTTCAAGGAGAACAATTATTTATAAAAACCAACACTTAACATAATCCTTGTCCTGTTAACAAAGACAAGTAAAAATTACGCACACTTCAGTGAATTTTGTTTTTTCTAACCTAACTGGACAAATAAATATTTTCAGTGTACACTGTCAAGGCTTCAACCTTTTTCAATCACTTAGTTCATTTTTGCAAGATTTTCAAGAAAAAAAAGCTGAGCTTTTTAAGTTAAATTACCTGATGCCAAAAAATTTTATTTCTCTGCTGGACAATACATTATTCCCCATTAAGTACCAACTGGACAGACACACTATTCCTAAATTTGAATAAAAATTGTAAAAATGTTTTGTTGTTAATCATCATTGCTTTGTTTTATGCAAACAAGGAATGTTACATTTATTGGCAAGAGGGAATGGAATGAAATACTTTTTTGAAGCTTTAATAAATTAAATGATATTTTAAAATTAAAATTTTCAAGTGAAAAAATGTAGATGTAGTAAATTTTCAACTTGAGAATTTATAGCAAGAAATAAACAAAACTTTAATGGAGAAAACTGTGTTTTGTGTGTGTGTGTGTGCAAACCACTTACTTTATCGGCTATGGTACTGTAATAAAATAATGTTTGATCTGATTATTAAAAAGCATTAAGTCCTTGTGAGCAGAATCATAAATTATTACGAGTTTCTGAAATCAAAGTGAAAGTCTGCTACATATCACCATTGTCTCAGTAGATTGCTGCAAACTAGCTTATACTGTCGTGGAAATGAAGAGAAATACCTACAAAGTAGATAATTTTCTGAAATTTAACATTTTCCTAAACTGAAAATATATTTTCAACAACCAAAGTCTTGGGTAGAAAGGAATGGTTGGGAAAGAAAAGAACACAGGAATGGTGGAACAATATACAGCAAACATTGGTTGCAAAAACATTGGAACAACAGCGATCACGTGCCAACAACAAGAGGAATAAGGAATAATGAGCAAGATGATAGAGGTTCAAACAGAGGATGAACATGAGCAAGAAGGACAACACTGAGGTTCCAATTGGGGAAAAATGCAGGGCAGGGAGGACAAGTAATAAAGAATGAATGAAGTAACGAAAGTACAGGAGAGTGGAACACAGATAATAATTTGGTAAATTTAAAAATGGAAGACAAAGTCGCCCTGTAAACTGCAAGAGATGAAACCGAGAGGTCCCTGTCATAAAGCCGAGTGAAAAAGGACAACAAATGAAGAATGGTAGATTGAGAAGGATGGTAACCCCAGCGTAGAGACCAAGAGCAGTATGTACCCCACTTACACTGATAAACCACCAATGAGGATGGTCGAATAGGACAGGAAATCAAGAAGACAACACACCTGGAAAGTCCAGATCATCTAGGGAAGGGCCAAACAAAAGCCATGCATGAAGATGGAGTGAGGGTAGAGAAGGATGACACATGCCGGAGTGAGGCTGACAAAGTAGCATGGGAGATAAAGGGAGAGGAACAGGTGATAACACCAACACCTATCACAGAAGTGAAAACCACATCTGATCTGGACAATATGGGGCCACCAACAAAACTCAACAAGGAGTGGTCTGAACTATCGAAATAACATGAGGAAGAAGCCAATTAGGAGGATAAGCATATAATTAACAATTAGTCCAATTCTGGCTGACAGCATCCACTACAGGCAAACAAAAATGGGGAAGGTTTGTGTTGAGAGGAGACACAAATGCGTTTATATTGGGGATTCCCCAATGAGCACACAACTTCCGAAAAATGACAGGATCCAAAGACCACTCCGTCAATAGAATCTAAATTGGATCTGGATAACCAATCCACAAACAGATTCATGGCTTGCCAGCAAAGTAATGTGATGGCTGTGGGTCCAATAAAGGAGATCCAATGTCTGAAAACAAAGGTCCTTTGACCAGGTGCCTCATTGCTTGGAGATATAGAACACCACCATAGAATCATCCATCTGAATTAAACTTCACCATCTGTCCCCGAAGAGATAGTAGGAAGTGAAGTACAGCTTGCTGAACAGCAAGGAGCTACAAGAAGCAGATTTGGTAAGAATTCACCTTCCCAAAACCTCCTGATAGTCAAGATATGCTCCACAACCGGAAAGGGAATCATCCACCTTGATGAGCCAACTGACTCTGGGAGTTTCCTAAAGAAGAAACTGAGTATGAAGGCCAGTGTCAGCCTATAAGGATGAAAGCAGGAGACAGTCATCCATGTACTGGTGGAAACAAAAGCCCCGGGAATGAAGCAGCAAAAGCAAAATACCAAACAACTCAGTAGAACATATAGGGAGCTGAGGACAGGCAAAACTGAAAAACATACCCCTGGTAAACAAAATGAAGAAAATGTAGGTATGCCAGGGAGATGGGAATATGGAGATATGCATCTGACACAGCAACCTTTGTTATCCACAGACCTGGAGTGAAAACCCAACAGAGATTAAGTATGATTCCAAAGTGAACTTGGGAATGACGAGGAAGTGATTCAGAGATGACAAATGATCACTGGGTGCCAATCTCCTGTCTTTTTTGGGAATGACAAGCAGAAGTAAATAAAACCATGAAGGAGAAGGATCTCTTAGTTTGATAGCACCCTTGAGAATTAGATCTCACACTACCTCCAACAAATGTGAGCATGAAATGGGATCCTGCAGGGAAGGGGAAGGAAATTTGATGGGGAGACAATGGGGGAGATGACAGAAAATGGAGGGCTAGATCTTTAGAAACAACCTTCAAAACCTGTATCGACTATAAACGACCACCAAATGTGGACAAAATAGAAGAGTCTGGCCCCCAATGGCTCTGACCCGAGTCACCAACACGGAATACCCAAAAACAACAACAGGCAGCAAAACCCCCGATCACAACTGTTCCCCAAAATGACTAGCAGGGGTTGAATCATAAAAAACATGAGACAAGATTAAAATCAAACAAATCTGATTAATCAAGTCAACAAAGGGAGAAGGAGACCTGGACAAGTCCTTCAATACAACACACTACTGAAAATCATATCAGAAGGTGGAAAAAAAGACTGTCCAAATTTTCATCCTCCCTGTCGGACACACCAAACACTGGTATAACAAGATACTCATCAGGTGGTGGTGAATGTTGCAAGAAATTAGACAATTCTCTACAGATCATAATAATCAGGGCATCAGACAATGACTGTATGATCAATCCTGATGAAGTGTTCAGTAAATCCGCAGGTGCAGTAACAGCAGTGGTTGTTTTAACTACTTGAAACTGCAAGTGCATACTTACAAAGTAGAAACTTGAACAAAATGTACTGAGAAATAAAAATTCACAAAATTAAAATATAACAACAGTTGTAAGCAAAAACAAACATGTCTTAACAGTAACAGAGAAGTGATTAACAGGTGCATTATTAGAGAGAGCACTAGTTACAATAGGGTTAGTGTTGCATTCTTATTGGTGGTTGGTTGGTTGCTGTATGATCATTTCCATGTCAATATGCAGAAAGAAGTGGAAGTTACAAGGCTAGTGGCCAGCAAAAAATTTGTGTCAATAGAGGGCAGTACTAATTGAGAAAGCTTTTTGTGATACGAGATAAGATATCGTATCGGAAATAATGTTTTTACGCATTACATTAACTTAATGATTTGGACATTCTTCTTCAAGAGACAAGAAAAAAATAATAATGTTTTTAATTTACTATATCAAAATAAGCTGTTAATAACTTAGTCCATTAATTAGGTACTTAGAATTAACAATTAATTATGTCTGTAACAAGGTGCGGTGTACATTAAGTTTCGTTACTAATAATTAAAAGTATCACTACTAACTAGATGTACTTGCACAGGGTTCCCAAAAGTGTTCTGCTTCAAGAGCAAATAAAACCAAAATTAACAGTGACAAATATTTTTATTTCTTGCTTTAGAAATTCATATGTCATGATGAGTTGCAGCCTATAGAATACATAATTCTTCTTGGGATTTATAGCATGTGCATGTTTTACTGATGTCATGACAAACTGCAATGTAAAGCTACCCTTATATGACATCATTTTAGTGTTTACTGACTGACTGACTGATAGACAATAAACTACTCTACAGTGGTGCAAGTGGTTAAAACAGGTGACCCCTCCTGGTAGACTTCAGCCCCCCCCCCCCTTTTGGAGAAATTGATAGGAAAATTTCAACATTAACATTTATCTACAATTTAATCTATAAACTGTGAAACAGTTTAATTTTTAAAATGTTGGGTGGGTGTATTGGTAATAAAGAACTAAGACTAGAAAGATTTCATTATGATTAGATGCTACACATGGATGGAGTTAATAGAGTGTGACAGGTGGTATTTTTGGGTTATGTTTCAGAATTGTGAGCTTGACTACAATTTTCAGGAGGTCCATAAGAATGATTTACACCTTTCCTACAGAACTTGCTTACTTAGCAATAAGTTGAAGTCAGCTTTAGAGAAGATAGCTTTATCAGTGAAGAAAATAGCAGATTAGGTGAAGAAATTAGGAAATGGTTAGAGTTAACTGTTTTGTTAACGAGTCCATGGATTACACGACCATGTGACCATCAGAGTTTCCATACTATAACTTTTAACATGCATATCTTTCAAATTTTTCAAGCTTTTAGTATACATTTAAAGTTGTTTTTGTAGACAAAAAAAAAATCAGAATTTTTCAACTTTCTTGTGACATTGCTACCACAAATGACCTGAAATGTTGCCATCGGCATCAGTTACAGAGATCCATGCCCTCAAATGTAAATGACTTTGTAGTTCTAACCACACTTAGGAAGCAGGATGCCATACGATATTCAAGTCATCCTGTTTCCAACCATTCATAGTTTTCTTGGAGAACTAAACAAATGAGTCAGTGGGAAAAATCTCCAAATGTTCTGCTCCCTGTCAACAATTGACCCCAAATCTGAAAAATTCCCTGATTTTGAGACTATTAAATTACAAGCTGAATCTTGAAGACATACAAATGAAAATGAGGTAAACTAAGAGAATGAATGAGTGTTACGGTGCTGCATTTGGCGCAGTTAAGAAATTTGCAGAACATCTCAAACCCCTATTTATGACTTTTGCTGAACATTCCAAGGTTATAAAGACAGCAATAACTTTTCCAGATAGCACAGTCAACTGTGAAAGGAGCTTTAGCAAGCTAAAACTGATCAAAAATCACCTTAGAACCAATAAGGCAGATAAGAGACTGAAGAATCTAAGAGTAATTAGCATGCACAGAGAACGTGCTCTTTCCATTGATCCTGATGTTATTGTTAACAGGTTCATTGCTATGTTTCCAAACACAAGTTTATTGTGGTTCAAAGTTGAAGAGAAGGATCATTCTGGTTGGTGTCTTGGTAAGTTCATACTTTTGACCATTATTCACAATCCATTTTTTAAAAGGAATTGTCATTCGCCCCCTAAAAATTGCTAGAACGGTCAAAAACCTTGTGATCCTTTCCAAGGTCTGTGAACACTTTGGGGCTTCAAAACTCAATACAAGGTACTTTTTGAAACCCAACATTGGCTCAATGTAATTTAACATGCTAAAATTTAGTGGAATAACGAGTCCATGTACAATTTCATCCAAGTATAAGATGTCTTGTTTTGCCCCACAAATTTTTTATGCTGGTGCCACTACTGTTTACAGTAGTTCAGGGGTTAGTCTATCTGAATTGAAATTAGCACCAACACGTAGAATTTTGAAATTGGGTCTTAAAAGATGTTATGACAAGGTTTTTGGTGAAGACTGCAAGATGGTGGAGTTTTTAATAATTTCTTTTTTCTCTTCTGTTTTTGCTTCAGATGATGTTAGCAACATGTGGGAGATATTGCATTTGACACTAATGTAGACACTAATCCCTTGATGGTAAGATTAAAATTAAATAAAACCACAGGACCAAATGATGTTCTTCTGAGATCTTTAAAGGAGATTAAAGATCAGACGTGCTCTCCCTCTCATTTTTGATAAGCCAATATATAGTGGGAGTAACAGAAGACTGGAAATTTGCTAATGTTACTCCTATTTTAAAAAGTAAAAAATAAGACTTGCCTTAAAATTATAAACTGTTTGGTCATATTTCTATAGTATAAAAAATTCTAGAAAATTTAATAAAAGAAGCTATAAAAAACCATTCAGTGAAATATATCAATGAAAAGGAGAGTCAACATGAATTTGGTAACAGGAAATCTTCCTGTCCTAATCTGTGATCTCGTAAAGGATGTTACAAGCCTGTGACCAATCTCTGTATTGGCCATCAATACCAATCCAATCTAAAGAATTCCCTGATGTTTTACTGATCCAATTTTTAAGAAGATCAGATTGGTAAGTTTGTTTACTTATGAAAATACACAAAATATTCAGCCACCTTAGTGACATGGAGAGCGGCAAAGTATCCTGAAATGGGGATTTGTTTAAAGATCTACAGAAAAATAAATGTAAGAAGAGATTATTAACTTCATCTAATATATACTTGTTTTGTATTCCGATGAAAATGTGTCCTTTTTGTAGTCTGATAAGTGCATTACTATGTATATGTACACATACACAGAAACCCACTCAACAGCATGATTGAAAGGCATATTGCCACAGGAAAGCATTCAATCTAGTAAAACAATGCTCCTTTGCTAACAGTAAAGCTAATACAATTTTAGGATGTATTTATAGATATGCTGATTGTATTTCAAAAGAGGTAACTATCTCTTTATACAAATTACTGATTAGGCCTCATTTGTAGTATTGTGTCCCATTTTAGTCTTCATATTAATGTACGGATATTGACTCGTAGAACGTTCAGAGGTAAGCTAATAAGATTATCTAACTGCAATAGTTTATTATTTTGGTCCCTTAATGTCAATAATGTTATGTTAGGTATAAAGTTTTGTCCTGAAAACATTGTGTGTTGTGTGTCCTGTTTCCAAAATGTATTACCAACTTGACTCAGTTGAAAAACTATAGCTTTATTAGGGGCTTCTTCTTCACAAAATAATGCTAAATAATGCTTGAATTTAGGGAGAAAAATAAATTTTAAACTACTTCTTCACCTGAGAAAGTAATCTGAAAAAATGAAACTTAATCTGTTAAGTGTAATATCTTATAAGTACAAGTAATTTTAAAATTTCACAACTTCAACTAAACAAATGGCTTAAAAACTGAATAAAGTCCTGAAATATCATGTTACTGTTAAATACTTTATGAATTTCTTTCAAGAAAATTAAGAGAGAAAAGTTCAACATCATAAAAAGTATTTTATTTCAATCCAATACACAAACTGGTACACAATTTACAAAATTCCTTAAAATATTTTATAAATTCTAAGGATTGTTAAAAATAAAACAAGAACATAAAAATATTATGACTTTAGTGGTGGTTTTTTTTTAAGATTTTTACTCAGTAACATAAGAAAAACTATAAATAATATTAGTTAAACAATAAATGCTACAGTACAGAGAATGTTTTGCTAATCTGTGGAATTTCGGTTCTTAATGACATGAAACTAAAATTTAAGTTGTCACTCAGAATGAAATTTGTCAATGATTAATCCATATAAAATACAATTATTTTCAGTTTGTGTTGGCTAAATTGCAATTGTATTCTAAAATATGCTTTAAAGATGGCTTGATCTTACCTTCCATACATCTTGTTTTCTGAGATCTTTGACACAATCAAAGAAAATGGCTTGAAGTACATTAAGTTCATTTTCCTGCCTTTCTTGTAGACTCTCCTCCATTTTAGTCAACTCTTAAAATAGGAATGCTGGTGAAATTATTTAAAATATTATTAAAACAAAACAAGTAGTCATTTCCATATTACTGCATATATTTTTCTGTAACCACTTCACACATAGTAATAATTATTAATCTGATACAAACTGCCTCTACATGTTTGTCACACCTATTTTACTAATTATACACCAAATAAGGGCTTAATGTAAGCTCCTTCTACACTGTAAAATAATTAATGGAGGGAAAAAAGACAGAGGATTAATTGAAACACCATTTACTATGGTCATCTACAAGACACAGCTTATAGCTTTTATAACTGTTGTATTTGAGATTATGCCTACAAGTAAACATAGCTTGTAGCAAATGTTATTCACTTATAAAGAAATAAATTAATATGTTATCTAGTGTGTATATACTTGGCATTATTTTTACCAAATAGTCATAAAGAACCTGCCCAACAACAGATTATCTAACAACAGTATCACACTTATTACCCATTATAGTCATGCTTTATCAGTTTGCAGCATATAAAATTTAATACAGCCAAACAGATGCAATAACTCTCACTATCTAACTGGCACTAAACTAATTCAACCACTAACTCATGATGATAGTACTTACACTGTACTTGTTTTCTCCTTACTATATAAAATTTGTAGATCATATCACTATTATTAAGTAATGACAAGCTCCCATTAGCAAACATCTAAATTAAAATATTAAAAATATAACTTACAATAATATTAAAACTTATAATTTTAACCACTTTATTCTGGGAATCTACCATTACAAAACTAAAGACATCAATGGCAAAGGTATACAAAAAAAATTAGTTGAAATGGCTACATTAACAAATTAGTATGTATAATTGATCCATATTGTATACAATGATGTTCCCAAACACCTTAAAATTGATTTTAGGGCTTCTGTATACATCTCACCAAATTTACCATTTGGCAATGCTGTACTCTTTGGACGATGCTGGCATGTGAACAAATCTGAATAGATATGGTATTCTCAGATAAAACTTAGATAAGGAGAGAATAAGGTAGGTCTGCAGAATAATGGAAGATTTGACAATATATTTAGTACAAAGTAATTCTCTGACTGTATTTGAGAAAGGAAAAGAATAGACTCAATGTAAAACAGACAGTGAAAACAAATTTTTATTTAAACTCAGAAACCAGAAGTTAAATAAATGCATAGAACAACGAGCACCATCTTTACTTGATATTTATCTCTCTAAACACCCCAAAGAACTTAAGAAATTATATTACACATTAATATTATAGGTTAAACTAGGAAAGTGTTACTATTTACAGAATGAAGTTAAACTTTACATACTGGTGGCTTGAGCTACAAAGAGAGAACGAAGAGGTCATAGTATTATATCAGTGGTTCCCAACCTGGGGTTCACAAAGGTAATACTGGGGGTATGTGAGCTATTTTCTTTAATTATACAAGGCATGGAAGGACACAGAATAATATAACATAAAAAGTTGAGACTGTTCTATAACTGTGACAATTTTTATGCTTTTTAAGTATGTGAGAAAAACCATTAAAAAGAGTTAATTATATAACTGGGCTATAAAAAAAAGTATTAACGAGAAAAAAAAAGACTATGAAGCTAGATATGAAGGAGACAATGTCATTTTTATGCTGAACTGGGGCTATAAACTCAGCTATAGTATAGGGGCAGCTTTAAACTAGGACTAGACAGCGAGTAGTAAGGACCAGTATAAGCTAAATGCAGAAAAAGAAAGATGTAAAGAAAAGTTTAGGGTTGGAACGAATTACAGTTGTAGTTTTAATGGTAGGCTAAATTGTTATTATTGTAATGCTAGAAGTATAAGAAATAAGACAGATGACTTAGGAGAATTGGAAGAGAATATTTTATATAATGGGAATAATCAGAATTTGGTTAAATTCAGAAAATGTTAATGTTAAATATTTCTTTGAAATATAGGATTATAGGTTAGTAAAGGGGTAAGAGTGGTTGTGTATGTAAAATGTTATTTACATCTTGCTTATGTTGAGGACATCAAAGATAATAGCAAAGACATTGAATCTATTTGGGTTTATGTTAGTGGGCACAGAGGGAGAAGGCTTTTAGTTATAATTTGTTACAGACCACCAAATGAAATTGGTAAAATTAATGAGAATCTCAACAGTGAGATCAAAATTTCTGCATATAAAGTCATAATAAAGGGAAGGGATTTCAATTTCAGACACACAGATTGGAAAATTTTAGTCAAGTCATGAAGAGGTTTTAAAGACCACTCAGGATGGTTTTCTTCAGTCAGGGAAACTACTAAGAACAATGCTATTATATATTTATTGTTAACTTCCAAAATACAAATGGTTCAGAAAGCGGAGATCTGGGTGATCATTGATCAATTAAGTTTGATGTTTTACTGCATATGGAGATCAGAAATGAAACTTTGGTTAAAAATTTAAAAAATCAAATTTTGAAGGGATGAGACAAGACTTATCTGTAAGGATTAAGCAACTAAAATAATTGAAGATTCTTACCAAAACACAAAAATTAAAATTGATTCTTTTAACTTGCGTCAATTGCTGTCTGATCCACTTGAGTTTAGAGAAGTTTCATTACTTTGAATTCTTAATCATTTTCGTATTACCCTAAAACTAAATTAACCCTCACCTGCACAAGGGGGTCATTTTAGACCCCTATGTAAAATTCATCCTGAAGGACACAGTGAACATTTTAATGTTATACTGTGTCGGAAATATCAATAGAAATTCAATACCAGCTTAAGAAATGTCCTAATTACTAATTCAGGCATAAAATTACCCTTTAAAATAAATACAACTAAAAATTTTATCTTTTTCGAACTAGCGATACATCATATACTTATATCATTATCCTTTATGATTTTTTTTACTTAACTTTGCACTGAGATTACTTTTGCTTACAGTTTGAAGCACAAATGAAAAGAAAACAACAGCTTTGTTCTTTTTGGGAACACAGGAGACCAGAGTTATTAGATTATTATCAAAACACTGATGACTCAGTTGGTCTCTGTTTTGATGGTTGAAAAGTTTTAGGAATCTCTGATTTGTTTTTCCAGCAATGGTCAGATAATGCTCGAGCATTTACTTTGCAAGAGGTACACTTATAAAAAAAATATTGTCCATAGTAACATTTCATCTAGAACCAAGATAAAACTGTGTAAGTTGTGTTATCACCTTTTCACCATCATTCTTTGTTGCATGCTTACCTTCTCGTTTGTCAAGATAAATGTTTAAGCTGCATACATTAGCATTGTCTGAATTGCAGCAAAGCCACCATTTGATTCCATACTTTCCAGGTTCTGATGGAATGTACTGCCTGAAAGGACAACCACAAAATGACACTAACTGTCCATCAACTGTCAGGTGTGTTCCAGGCTTGTATGGCCTCTTATAACGTGCCCTGAAAATCAGTAAGCATATCTCTAAATGGTGCCAATTTGTTGATATTCCTGCAATAAGACCTGGTTTGAAAATCACTGAATTGTAGAAACATCTGGATATTTTGAAAGCACCCCAATCCCATTGTAGCACTGAATATTGGTCAACCAGAGGCATCCATCTTCCACAGCTCTCTAATATCTTTGTTTGCTGAACCAACACCCCTGCATATATAAGTAACCATATCAGTGCCTCAAGTTCTATTTCATCTATGTCTTTCCATTTTTTATCATTATACTCACAGTTTCATTTTTCATATGCATAATGAGCCTTCTGATTTGTAAGTCTTAGAATCATTTGTTTCATCTCAGTAATCAAATATATATTTAGTGTGTCCTGTATGTTTTGCACCTTTCCATCCTCTTTAAGTTCCATTGTCTCCCTCAACACGTTACGAGTTTTAGAATGACCTGTTTCTCTGGGCTTTGCTTGCCAGATATAACCAGACATAGACTTCTAGGTGTTTTGCAAAGTACAATTACTATTATCCTGGATGGTAACTTCCTCTTCATCACTACTTGCATTGTCCCGAAACTCATTTCCTGCAGTTTCATCACCAGAATCCTTTGGATTGTTCTCAAAATTATCTTCAATTTCAGAGTTCATTTCTTCTATATGCATTTCTTCATTATTTTGAACTTCCTCCGAGTCACTGATACTACCATCAGATGCATCAATTACCAATTCTATGCCTTCTTCTAGTATTGCCTTCATCATCTCCTCGACTGTCATTAATCGAGGTCTTTTTTGATGCACTTATAATGGGGCCTGGATCTAACATACAAAGTCACAAAAGGTCATACCTCAAAAAGAAAAACAAATGTTAAGTATCACTGATGATATAAGTATGGGGTATAAAAAGATCTCCACCTTTGTGCAGATGAGGCTTAAGACCCTTAAGTGCATCTTATAAAAAAAAAAAGAGGACTACATTAGTACTAACAGCACAAGAGTAGAGTAGAAGTACAGTACAAATAAAAAATATAATAAAACATAGGCCTGGAAACAAAAACATGCTTTTTAGCATCAAGCATGATTCCCACTCATAGTTCTATTAGTATTAGTTCAACTATTACTCTTAGTATTACTAAGTTCATCTATTACTAGTAGTACTAAGATATTAGTACTATTACTATTACAAGTTCAACAACTAAACTTAGCCTTAGTTATAATTAAAATTATCAGCAAAATGCCGCCTTGGTACGACGGAATCGAAAGGGGAAACACTTTTACCACAATAAAATAAATTAAAATGGCTTACGTTAAAAACATCTTTTACTTTTCATGTTCACAACGACGAGAAAAGCATCCAACCCGAAACGTTGCGAACATTACAAAACATATTTGACTTTAATTTTTATTCAGTATAACTAAGTGTTCCTCTTCTTTTTTCTTAGTTTTAGTTAGATTTAAACTTATTGTACTAATTACAAAACAAACAGCTGGAAAAGGGTCAACTTTACCATGATACACATTTTCTAATGTTTACAGTTTAGTAACTTCTCTTAAATTATTTACAATTATTATTAATATGATTTAACTAGATAACTTAATATGGTTATTAAATTATAATTTCTGCACGTGGCCACTCAAAATAAACAAAAAAATACAACATGCTTACTTGAAGTTGAACACTTCTTTCTTAATTAAACAGAAAAAATATGTAAAAAATATTACTATACCGCTTATCAGTATAGGATAACAACTACTAGTACGAAGCAGTTCAATCTGCTAAGTATTTATTTATTCATCATTTGGAAATTACAAAGTGGATATGAACAAAAGTTGAAGTGATTAATTTTACTCACTTCATAATATTCTACGTTTTAAAGACGCATACTGACACAGTTAAATGTACTTGTAAATTTGAAAACACAATTAAACAGTCACCTTCATCTTACAAAAGTTACACACATGTTTAAAGTTGTATTCAACTGTCTGACTTGGTTAAAAATAAAATGTAGAATAATAAGGTAAGTTTTAAAGAATAAAACATGACATAGTGTTTTATTTTTTATCTTACGATATAAACGAAAATTGTATTTATATGTGAATTCAAAATGCGGGTAATAAAAAATGGCATGATTAATATAAAAAATACAGTTTCTCAATAAGTATATTTAATTTACTTTTCATTAGATATTACTATTGCCCCTCTTATACTTTTATCCTTGCATTATATATATATTTCTTCCCTTAAGGAAATCCCCGATGGGACAGTGGTAAGTTTATAGACTTACAACGCTAAAATCTGGGGTTCGATTTCCCGCGGTATACACAGCAGATAGCCCATTGTGCCTTTTCTCTATAACAAACAAAGAAATCATTAGGGATTTTCAAAAATTAGAAGAACGTATACTTATAGTATTCCAACCACATCACATACGCCGTATCCATTGACGACGGCGCGTTTCGTGTAATTCGGTGCTATTCAGGCCATCTGGCACAAAAAACAAACAAACACCATTTATACGAGCTATTTACAACAACAGTCATGCTTCGCTAGCTAGAAGAAGGCATTCATACTGTTACGTCTCCGTTCGTTAGTTAATTTTCCGTAAATTCGTTCCGACGAAACTTTAGCAACACAAGTCCTTTGTTAAATAAAACTGGTTTATTCTTTCCGAATACAACTTACAATACACTTAATTTCAACAGTCGCTCTATAACAACGCTCACGTCTCACGTGGCCAACAATATTTTGTCCGCATACATTCAATTACTCATTACCTACACATTCCCGTCACATTGTGACCATCTTATATATACCAGACTACCCCCAATCTAGTAAATGCTAGGGCATTCCTGAAGGAACAGGATATTTCTAGAAAACGGGTGGCGTGATACTAGTCACGTGACCTCGCTGACGCAACAATACCATAATAATTGTTGTTATAATGAATGACTTATATAAATATTGTTGTGTTTGTTGAGTGCTAGCCAGCCTGAACACTTCAGAAATGAGTGAAACGTTTCGTCGGCAATGAATACGGCGAATATGTTATGGTTGGAATACTGTAATTATACACGCTTCTAAATCTTGAAAATCTTTAAGGCAGTATATATATGCAACGCAATCAGCAGCAGCGCAAGCACCAAAAATTTAGGAGGGGAGGGGACAAGCCAAAATTCTGGGAGGTCAAAACAAGCCATCTTATACTCACGTGTAATTTTAAGGGGGCTAGTTATCCCCCCTCCCAATTTTAGGGTGCTAAATTACGTTGAGCCAATGTTGGGTTTCAAAATGTACTTCTATTGAGTTTTGAAGTCCCAAAGTGTCACAGACCTTGGAAAGGATCACAAGGTTTTTGACCATTCTAGCATATCTAGCAATTTTTAGGGGGGGGGAACAAGTCCCTTTAAAAATGGATTGTGAATAATGGTCAAAAGTATGAACTTACCAAGACACCAACCAGAATGATCCTTCTCTTCAACTTTGAACCACAATAAACTTGTGTTTGGAAACTTAGTAACGAACCCGTTAACAATAACATCAAAATCAATGGAAAGAGCACGTTCTCTGTGCATGCTAATTACTCTTAGATTCTTCATTCTCTTATCTGCCATATTGGTTCTGAGGTGATTTTTAATAAGTTTTAGCTTGCTGAAGCTCCTTTCACAGTTGGCAGTGATAACTAGAAAGTTATTGCTGTCTTTATAACCTTGTAAAACGTCATAAATAGGGGTTTGAGATGTTTGCAAACTCCTCAACTGCCCCAAATATTGCACATGAACGCTCATTTATTCTCTTACCTTGCCTCATTCCCATTTGTATGTCTTCAAGATTCAGCCTATAATGGGTTGCAAGAAGTTTAATAGTCTCAAAATCAAAGAATTTTTCAGATTTGGGGTCAATTGTCGACAGGAAGTGGAACATTTGGAAATTTTTCCCACTGACTTATTTGTTTAGTTCTCCAAGAAAACTATGAATGGTTGGAAACAGGATGACTTGTTTCATATCAAATGAATCTCGTATGGCGTTCTGCTTCCCAAATGTGTTTAAAACTAGAAAGTCGTCTACTTTTGAGGGCGTGGATCTCTGTAATTGATGCCGCCGGCAACATTTCAGGTAATTTCTGTTAACGATATCACAAGAACATTGAAAATAATGTGCAGTTTTCTCATCACATCTGTAGGTTTGCAACTCTGCTAGAAGACTCTCAATGAGATCTGTTTCTTTTAAGTTATCTAACTAGGAACTTTTCAGCATATCTGATGCTCTCTTTGCTTCACGTAAGATGTCATTGAAAAACATTATACTGTTACGACAATGCAGGTCACGTGACGCTTGTATCACGCCACTTCCTTGTCGAACCTTCATGAAATGTCAGGAGACTACTAAATTGGGGTAGTCTTGTATATATAAGACCGGCCAAGAAGCAAGTAAGGTAATGAGTAATTGAATGTATGCGGACAGAGAATATTGTTGGCCAGGTGAGACGTTCGTTGTGAGTTATAGCGTTGGTTATACCGCGACTGTTGAAATTAAGTGTATTGCAAAGTTATATTCAGAAATAATAAACCAGTTTTATTTAAGAAAGGACTTATGTCGCTAAAGTTTCGTCGGAACGAAGTTACGGAAAATTAACTAACGAACGGAGACGTAACAATACAATATATGAATGTCTGGTCAAGTTGTGCTAAAATGGATTGGGCATTTAATGCACAGTCTCAATTGCTGTCACTTATGTCAATGCTCCACAGAAATTTATTAGAACAGTCAAACCTTGCTTCAATTGTACTTGCAGCATGCACTTGGCAAGCCCATCATGTTTCCAACATTGTTTTAAATTCTATAAGCTTTTGATTTAGGTGCATGTTTTATCTTGTTTGGAAAATAATTCACTGTGCGTGAACATTAGAATCACTTAAAAAACTTTAGCAAGTCTGTAGCATTGAAAAAAGTCAGCCACAGGGGTTACAGATTTCACACTTATTACAATGACTAAATTAAGATGATGAGCAAAACGGTGAATGTAAATGGTTTTAGGTATGATTTGTCTTAATTTCTGTTGAACCCCAGAGCACTCGCTACTCCTGGCAGTGGTGCCATCATATATCAGCCACACCACTTACTCCAAGAGTCGACCTAAGCATGGTTTATTTCCACTGATGCTGCTCGGCTCATGTAATCCTCCAATGTTATTAGATTCACCCAATATATCTTCATGTTCTTGATCAGAAGTATCCACACTGCCTCTTTGATCCAATAGTCTATCATTTTTTGGGGGGGTTTTCAGGAATAACTATTTCATCTTCAGTCCTTTGGCGCTTCTCGCTTGGTCTACCTTTCTCCTTGATGTATCCATCTTCCTGGGAATACTGTGATTTCCGCAGGTTTTTGCAAAATTTTCTGATGTCCATTTTTTTAATAGTAAACATTGATATGTTTACACGTGTATGCAGAACACCGACTTCATGTAACAATTAACAACATTAAACTGTATCGTTTAAAGATACCCGTGACCTCTTAACCTTGAAATTTGAAGAACAAATACTTACATACAAAGTAAAAGCACCAAAGATAGCTTGGTAAACAACAAGCCTATGCTTGTCACAACTGCTTACCACAAAACTGGTCTGAAGACCTTATTTATCAATGTTTCTGAGAATGGCAGACCTAACTACTTTGTTAACCCTTTTTCGGGTTGGCAGTATAATATTGTCATCGCTCAGGCAAAGCATAATACTTAAAGCATTCAATCTTATTTAGTTACAGAGCTATCAAATAGAAAATCAGCCCACTCTTGCCACGCCCATCAATCATCCCTTTCAGAACTTGCCAATAGATTTCTCTGACTTTAAATCCTATATTATGTATAACCAATAGAAAACCAAGCGTCCCGCCTTTGAAATGGCACGTTATTTTACTTTCTTGTTTTGTTTTGTTTTTTCTCAATAGACAATGTGAAGTTGCGATTTCAGTTTTACTTTTGTTCCCACAGGAAACATATCAACCAGCTTAGCTTAATTTCTAATAAGCAATTCAAGTGGATTTGGTAAGCTAACTTTCATTATTGTTGAAAGCTATGTTTTCAATGTTTTAATTTAGTTGTTAGCTAAAGGAGCTTCTAATATGATGATGATGATAGGTTTGAAAGTTTATAAAGATAGTCCTAGAATAGCTAGAATGTTAATGTTACGACAGTGGAAGTCACGTGACGCTAGTAACACGTCATTGACTTCTAGAAATATCTTGTTCCTTCATGAATGCTCTAGCGTTTACTAGATATGCGTTAGTCTTGTATATACAAGGCGGTCACAACGTGACGGGACAATGTGTAATTGAACTGAGTATTATTGAGACGAGCACGTGAGACGTTCGTTGAGAATTATAGCGTTTGTTGACTGTTGAAATTAAGTGTATCGCAAAGTTATATTCAGAAAGAATAAACCAAGAAAGAACTTAAGAAAGGACTTGTGTCGCTAAAGTTCGTCGGAACGAATTTACGGAAAATTAACTAACGAACGGAGACGTAACATTAATGATCGAGGAAGTTTACAAAATATGTAGAAACGAAGATACATTACAAATACGAGAACCAGTCAAGCATTGAATATTAAATTCGTCCAGTGAATTTGAAGTTAGTGAAGCATTCAGATTAGTGTTAGTTAACGCATGTAAAGTTACTGCTTATGTAGATGATGGTAAGGGTGTAGGTAGATTCGGTATATCTGGATTTTAAGAAAGAATTTGACAAAGTGCCACATAAAAGGCTTGTAAAAGAATTATCTCCATAGATGTGGGGCATACGTTATCTAATTGGATAGAAGAGTGGATGGAAAGAAGAAAGCAGTAGGTTGTTACAAATGGAGTTCAGTCAAACTGGATTAATGTGACAAGTGGGGTACCTCACAGCTCAGTCTTACGACTCTTGCTCTTTTTGATATACATCAATGACATAAATAAAGGAATGGTCAATAAGTCACTTAAAGT